AAGCGAATTTTGGAGTAACATTTAAAATGACTGGGTTTTAAAGACACAGCTAAAATCACGTTTCCATGGTTACAGATAAATCTACTTCAACTGGACAAGGGGTGTCTGGGTTTTCCTTATGTCTGCATCATTGTATCGGTTATTAGCTACATTTTGGTAAGGGATAGGGATGTATTTTTCAATGAAAACTGACATCCGTTGAATGCATGTCGTCTAGATTTTTTTTTTTTATTGTTAACGGCAAAAAAATTCTTACGGCATTTTTTTTCTATTTGTAAATTTAAAGATTTTCGCGGGTGTTCAGATTAGAATACCTTTTTATTTAACTACGATTTGAAATATTCTCATTTTTAATTTTTATTATACTATATTTTTTTAAGAACAGTTGAATGTATTAGAATCCCTTATAGTATGTAGGATTATTTTTACATCATGTATAAGTATGTATATTAGGTTACATTTTTTATTTATATATATATGATAAAATATATTTTAAAGAATGCTATATTTATAGATTATAGTGCTCAATATCGGGAATAGAGTGTATGTAAAAAATAAAAAAATGAATTTGGAAGTCAACTCATAGCAATGACAGTCTGTTTCACACATAAACACAATATTGCGTTTAAACATAAAAATAAACTGTTGGCGCCTGATTTTTAACTCAATATACACTTTCATTCATTCATATATATATATATATATATATATATATATATATATATATAGAGAGAGAGAGAGAGAGACAGACAGACAGACAGACAGATACAGATAGATGGATAGATAGATAGAATAGATAAACGTGTCTTTCAGGGCTCCCAGTCTCTTTTCGAATACTCAAAAACTGGTGAAAATTAAATTTTAGATATTCTGTGTAAATATTCGATACCCAATTTCATCTTCGAAAATTTATCAGGTTAAATTTAACAAATCCTTACACGCAGACACACACACACACACACACACACACACACACACACACACACACACACACACACATATATATATATATATATATATATATATATATATATATATATATATATATATATGAATTATGATGAACACCACGAAAATTAGGTGATTTTAAAAACAGACTACGTAAAAATTAAAATATATTATAAAAATGAAATATTAAACAGACCTTCGAGATTGCTTTTAGCAAATCTTGTTTGAATTCATTTTTGCTGCCAAAACATAGCTTAAACAACACACACTTATTCACTGTTTAACTTCTAGGCTTGTAGTAATAGTGGGGATACATATCTATTCTTTCACATAACCCCATAGAAAAAAAATCACAAGGTTATAAATCAGGTTACGTATTGGGCATTTCAACACCAAATTGCCATTATCACTGTCACGACCGATCAACTTTCCTGCTAGATACTCATTGATATAATCCCGCACACTGGTGCTGGAGAATGTTACGCAAGACATCCTACAGCGTGTTTGGCGGGTGTTGGACTAGCGACTTGACGTGGTCCGTGATACATATGGCTCGCATATTGAACATTTGTGAAGCTTTATGCAATTAGTTATAAAATTTGCACCCCTTTGAATATATTGTTCAATTTACATATATATATATATATATATATATATATATATATATATATATATATATATATACAAGAATAGAATTGGGGAAGAAAAGAGATCTTATTGTTTGGAAAAGGAAAAGACATAATCGTATCTTTTATTTATAATAATGTTATACATCGTTGATTTTGCCATATGAAACTGAGTAGGAAGAGACAATATCATCAACAATATTTATCTCTTAACTATTCCTTTTCCTTTACCAGTATCACTTCTAGATTTATTTGGAGCCATGACTAAGGTCTAATGAAGAGAAAAAAGTCATCGTACTATAAAACTGGAAAAGAAAACCATAGCACAACACACGAATGTATACAACATGGCGGTCGACTCAGAAATGATTCTGTTCAGGTTAACTCGATTCGTCAATGTTTTTCAAGAACCGAAATTTTCTTCGATAATCAAATTTTCTGTTCGAAAACCGCTTTGTTCATTATGTGAGACGTTCGCGAACCGAGGTTGCACTATATGTATATATATATATATATATATATATATATATACAAGAATAGAATTGGTGTACACGGAATAAAATTCCAATAACCAAAAACACTATTCTTAAACAGTGCTCAATACAAAGTAGAGCAAACATTTATTTAAAAATTCAAAAATTATAACATTCAAAAAAAAACTATAACATCATTATAAAAATAGTCATTTTGTTTCAACACTTCTGGTATCTTAACAATGATTGTGTTGATTGTGAAATAAAACCATATATATATATATATATATATATATATATATATATGTATGTATAATTATAGATAACTAGACTCGTTTCGAATAACCCTCGAATTTTTGATTTGCTAATAATCAAATCAATCTCGAGAGAAAAAAAAGGTTTTAAAAAAAGAAAGAGCTACAAACATAAACTTCTGCCGGCAAAAAAATCGGACAGATGCAGGTCTGAAGCCCAAAGAAAAAACCCTGATACGAGTAAACAACTAACTAACAAAAAGCTCAATACAACCGTGAAACAACCTAGATACACCTAGTGAGTTTCACAATTTACCTCGAGCACCTAAACGGATCGTCAGGAAAAGTAAGCCTTATTTTCCTGACGATCCGTTTTGTTGAAACCTAGGTAGGTTTGTTTGCCTCACTAGGTGTATCCATTCATCTTTCTTTCTATCTATCTATATATATATATATATATATATATATATATATCCGCGAAATAATGATCCGCGAGAATTAATGCCAGATTAAAAATCCATATATATATACACACACATTCACACACACACACACAGACACACAGACACACACACATACACACACACACACATATATATATATATATATATATATATATATATATATATATATCAGGTCATCCCATAAGTTCTGTCCGAATTTTGACTTTTTGTTAAAATGAACGAAATTTAGAGAGTATTTTATAATGTCTAATGAAGCTGAACATTATTTTTATGTTTAGATGCATTTAAACTGATCAAATCTTATGTCTGAGAACAATAAAATTAAATTTTGTTAGATTAAAACCCTGCTAACATGGAAGTACCCAAGAATCATTTGAGGCACATAATGCTTTATGAGTTCATGAAAGGAAACTCAGCAGCCGAAGCGGCTAGAAACATTCACTCAGTTTATGGAGAGGAATGTGTGAATGAAAGAACTTGCAGAAGATGGTTTGCAAAATTCAGAGGTGGAGATTTCACCCTTGAAGATGAAGATCGAACCGGATGTCCAGTTGAGTTTGATGAAAAGCTTCTTGAAGCAGCCCTTGAAGAAAATCCTGCTTTATCAGTTGAGGAATTGACAGTGGTCCTCAGTTCAAACCATACAACTGTTCATCGTCATCTTTAACAACTTGGAAAAGTTCCTAAACTTGGAAAATGGGTGCCTCATGAATTGTCTGAAAACAACCTCAAATCCTGCTCTTGTTTCACCTTTTTTGGATAGACTTGTGACTGACGACGAAAAATGGATCTTTTATCGAAATGTTAAGCGTCGTAGACAGTGGCTTGGTAAAAGGGAAGGACCCCAGCCACAACCGAGAAGGGAAGTTCATCGGCAAAAGTTTCTTCTTTCAATCTGGTGGGATCGCTAAGGAATAATCTACTTGGAATTCTTACCACCTAATGCAACAATTAATGCTCAATACTGTCAGCAATTAGATCGTTTGAACCAAGGTTTGAGGAAAAAAACCCTGCTCTAGTGAATCGAAAAGTGGTGATGTTTCATCAGGACAATGCGCGACCGCACACAGCAAGAATCACGTCACAAAAGATCGAATAACTTGGTTGGGAGAAAATTCCTCATCCACCTTATTCTCCCGATCTTGCTCCTTCAGACTACCATTTGTTTCGTAGCTTACAGAATCATTTAGAAGAAACAGCTTTTGTAATACAGGAAGAGGTTAAAACTGACATTTGTGAGTTCTTCGAATGAAAGCCAAAAGAATTTTAGCGTAATGGAATTAGTAAGCTTGTTAATAGATGGAAGGAAGTCATAGATAATCATGGAAAATACATTGTTGATTGAATCTGTAATTAAATGTAACATTTGGTCACTTTTTTTCTTTATTCAAAATTCGGACAGAACTTATGGGATGACCTGATAGTAAGCTTGTTAATAGATGGAAGGAAGTCATAGATAATCATGGAAAATACATTGTTGATTGAATCTGTAATTAAATGTAACATTTGGTCACTTTTTTTCTTTATTCAAAATTCGGACAGAACTTATGGGATGACCTGATATATAATTGTATCAGAAGTGATTTATCTTTTTATATGAGACGAAACGACGCAGGCTTCTCGTTCTTTTATTGCTTTCTCTGTGGCAAATGCTCAGACAAGCTATATTCCTTTGTTCCACTGCTTCAGGCTTTCACAGCTTTCCCTTTTCGAGCCGATAACTGTTATCTTACCTATACATCGATACCGTTGCTTGACGTTTTCTATTCGGTCCCAGATAGAATCGGTATCTCAATTACCAATTTTGGAAACAGGAATGACCACTCTACTTTGGAAGAACGACGCAAGACACTATGACAATCCTGTTCAACATTTTTTTTCTTGTGTCGAATTTATATACGTCTAATAAATATATAAAAGTATATAAATCATTTTCCATCAGAATTAATTTAGGTACGATTTTAAAAAAATGTCAGTACTATCTGGGGTACTGTTAAGAAAAAAAAAATAGCAGGAAATCTCAGCACCATTAAAAAAGTCTTTTTTGGTGGAGGTAAGGGGTTTATCAAACGTCTTTGAAAAGTCCAATCTAGGAAGAGGAAAAAAAATGCTATATTCTTAAAAAACAAAAAAACAAAAGAAAATAATTTTAAGAAATATCGGCAAGAAAGAAGAAATAAAAGTTCTGTAATTTTAAACACTACTTCCGGCGTCATTAAAGAGAAATTATATATAATGAATGATGGTCTTCTAGAAATAAAAAAAGAAAAAAAATGTATTAATTTCTTCTTCTTCTTCTTCTTCTTCTTCTTCTTCTTCTTCTTCTTCTTCTTCAACTCCTCCTCCTCCTCCCCATTTATTTGTTTATTCTTTTTCCCTGTATATTCTTCGTTCTCCTCTTCTTTCTTTTCATCTTTTTCGTTTCCTTATTCTCCACATTCATCTTCCTTCTTGTCTTACGGCTACATTACATTGAAACACCGAAGTTACGCAACGTCAGTCATGGTCAGTACCTAAATGGGTGACCGCTAAGAAAACGGGGTTCTGTAAACTTGGATACTGATGGTGCCACGGATAATGGCTCGGAATAGTTAACTCGGAGAGCCGAGTTCTAATTCCAGTTGGGTTCGTGATATTCACTTACGCGTAAATACACTTTGGGAAAGATATGAATCCATCCACTTCTTCTTCAACCAGCTATGTGTTTAATTCGTAAGACATATCACTTCACCATTATTATCTCAAAATAAATTCTAGCAATCTAAAAATATTTCCAGGTTTAAAATAATCTGCAAATCAACCGTAGAAAACGAATCAATCAAAATGTTTCTTCTTCTTTTTTCCTTTGCTTTCTTCATTTTTTTCTTCTTCATCTTCTCCTTTAATTTCACATTCATTTCTTCTTTTTTTCCTTTGTTTTCTTCATTTTTCCTTCTTCATCTTCTCCTTTACTTTCACATTCATTTCTTCTTTTTTCCTTTGTTTTCTTCATTTTTCCTTCATCATCTTCTCCTTTACTTTCACATTCATTTCTTCTTTTTTTCCTTTGTTTTCTTCATTTTTCCTTCTTCATCTTCTCCTTTACTTTCACATTCATTTCTTCTTTTTTTCCTTTGTTTTCTTCATTTTTCCTTCTTCATCTTCTCCTTTAATTTCACATTCATTTCTTCTTTTTTTCCTTTGTTTTCTTCATTTTTCCTTCTTCATATTCTCCTTTAATTTCACATTCATTTCTTCTTTTTTTCCTTTGTTTTCTTCATTTTTCCTTCTTCATCTTCTCCTTTAATTTCACATTCATTTCTTTTTTTTTCTTTGTTTTCTTCATTTTTCCTTCTTCATCTTCTCCTTTACTTTCACATTCATTTCTTCTTTTTTCCTTTGTTTTCTTCATTTTTCCTTCTTCATCTTCTCCTTTAATTTCACATTCATTTCTTCTTTTTTTCCTTTGTTTTCTTCATTTTTCCTTCTTCATCTTCTCCTTTTCCTTCTTGACCATTATTCATTCTTCTTTTTTCCTTTTGTTTTCTTCATTTTTCCTTCTTCATCTTCTCCTTTTTCCTTTCCTACATTTTTCTTCTTTTTTTTTCTTTGTTTTCTTCATTTTTCCCTTCTTCATCTTCTCCTTTAATTTCACATTCATTTCTTCTTTTTTTTCCTTTGTTTTCTTCATTTTTTTCTTCATATTCTCCTTTAATTTTCATTCATTTCTTCTTTTTTCCTTTGTTTTCCTATTTTTCCTTCTTCATCTTCTCCTTTAATTTCAAATTTCTTCTTTTTCCTTTGTTTTTCTTCCTTCATCTTCTTCATCTTCTCCTTCTTTTAACATTCATTTTTCTTTTTCTTTTTTTTCTTCCTTTTTCCTTCTTTCTTCTCCTCCTTTACTTTCACATTCATTTCTTCTTTTTTCCTTTGTTTTTCATTTTCCTTCTTCATCTTCTCCTTTACTTTAACATTCATTTCTTCTTTTTTCCTTTGTTTTTTCATTTTTCCTTCTTCATCTTCTTTTTACTTTTCATTCATTTTCTTTTTTTTCTTTGTTTTCTTTTTTTCTTCTTCATCTTCTCCTTTAATTTCATTCATTTCTTCTTTTTTTTCCTTTTTGTTTTCTTCATTTTTCCTTCTTCATCTTCTCCTTTACTTTCACATTCATTTCTTCTTTTTTTTCCTTTGTTTTCTTCATTTTTCTTTCTTCATCTTCTCCTTTACTTTCACATTCATTTCTTCTTTTTTTCCTTTGTTTTTCTTCATTTTCCTTCTTCATTTCTTCCTCCTTTCTCCTTCTTCTTCATTTTCTTCTTTTTTCCTTTTTCTTTCTTCATTTCCTTCTTCATCTTCTCCTTTTACTTTCTTCTTTTTCATCTTTCTTTTCCTTTTTTTTCTTCATTCTTCCTTTCCTTCTTCTCTTCTTCTTCTTCACATTCATTTCTTCTTTTTTTCTTCATTCTTTTCTTCATTTTTCCTTCTTCATCTTCTCCTTTTTTTTTCACATTCATTTCATTTTTTTTTTTTTTCTTCTTTTTCTTCATTTTTTCCTTCTTCATCTTTCCTTTTCCTTTCTCATTCATTTCCTTTTTTTCATTTCCTTCTTCATTTTTCCTTCTTCATCTTCTCCTTTACTTTCACATTCATTTCTTCTTTTTTTTTTCCTTTCTTTTCTTCATTTTTTTTCTTCATCTTCTCCTTTAAAAAAGTTCTTCATTTTCTTTTTTTTCCTTTGTTTTCTTCATTTTTCCTTCTTCATCTTCTCCTTTAATTTTTCTTTCATTTCTTTCCTTTTTTCCTTTGTTTTCTTCATTTTCCTTCTTCATCTTCTCCTTTACTTTAACTTCATTTCTTCTTTTTCTTTTTTTTTCTTCCTTTTTCCTCCTTCTTCATCTTCTCCTTTCCTTTCACTTTCATTTCTTCTAAAGCTTCCTTTTCTTTTCTTCATTTTTCCTTCTTCATCTTCTCCTTTAATTTCACATTTCATTTCTTTTTTCCTTTGTTTTCTTCTTCTTTTCTTCTTCATTTTCTTCATTTCTTCCTTTAATTTCACATTCATTTCTTCTTTTTCCTTTGTTTTCTTCTTTTTCTTCTTCATCTTCTCCTTTTCTTCTCTTCATTTCTTCTTTTTTCTTTGTTTTCTTCATTTTTCTTCTTCATCTTCTTTTTCTTTTAACATTCATTTCTTCTTTTTCCTTTGTTTTTTCATTTTCCTTCTTTATCTTCTCCTTTTTCTTCACTTTCATTTCTTCATTTTTTTTCCTTTGTTTTCTTCTTTTTTCTCCTTCATTTTCTTCCTTTCTTTAACATTCATTTTTCTTCTTCATTTTCTTTTCTTCATTTTTTTCTTCTTCTTCTTCTTTTCTTTCACATTCATTTCTTCTTTTCCTTTGTTTTCTTCATTTTTTCCTTCTTCATCTTCTCCTTTAATTTCACATTCATTTTCTTCTTTTTTCCTTTGTTTTCTTCATTTTTTCTTCTTCATCTTCTCCTTTAATTTCTTTATTCATTTCTTCTTTTTTTTCTTTTTTTTTTTCCTTTTCCTTCTTCATCTTCTCCTTTCCTTTCACATCTTTTTTCTTTTTTTTTGTTTTCTTTCTCTTTTCCTTCATCATCTTCTCCTCATTTCACATTCATTTCTTCTTCATTTTCTTTCCTTGTTTTTTCCTCTTTTTCCTTCTTCTTCTTTTCTTTTTTTCTTCTTCATTCTTTTCTCCTCCTTTTCCTTCTTTTCTTCCTATCCTCCTTCAGCTTTTCTCTTTAATTTCCCATTCTTCTTCTTTTTTTTTTTCCTCCTTTTTCTTCATTTTTTTTCTTCATCTTCTGCTCCTTTAATTTCCTCTTCTTCTTCTTTTCTTTTTTTTTTTCTTTGTTTCTCCTTCTTTTTCATTTCTTCCTTTTTCCTCAGCTTTCATCTTCACATTCATTTCTTCTTTTTTTTTTTCCTTTCTTTCTATTTTTTTTTCTTCTTCATCATCTTCTCCTTACTTTCTTCTTATTTCTTCTTTTTTTCATTTCTTTTTCATTTTCCTCCTTCATCTTCTTCTTCATTTTCATTCCCTTTCCTCTTTTTTTCATCTCCTTTCTTCTGCTTTTCTTCTTCCACCTTCTCCTTTAATTTCTACATTCATTTCTTCTTTTTCTTCTCCTTTTTTCTTCTTTTTCTTCTTCTTCTTCTTTTTTCTTCTTCCTCCATTCATTTCTTCTTTTTCTTTTCCCTCCTCCTCATTTTCATTCATCTTCTCCTTTACTTTCTTCATTTCTTTTTTTTCCTTTCCTTTTCTTCATTTTTCCTTTCTTCATCTTCTCCTCCTTTCACTTCATTCATTTCTTCTTTTTTTTCTTTTCTTTTCATCCTCCTTCTCCTCCTTCTTCATCTTCTTCCTTTCCTTTCACATTCATTTTTCTTTTTCTCTTCCTTTGTTTTCTTCTATTTTTTCTTCTTCATCTTCTCCCTTCTATTTAATCCTCTTCATTTCTTCTTTTTTTTTCTTTTTTTCTTCATTTTCCTTCTTCATTCATCTTCCTTTAATTTCACATTCATTTCTTCTTTTTTTTCCTTTGTTTTTTCCTTTTTTTTTCCTCCTTCTTCTTTAATTTTTTCTTCATTTCTTCTTTTTTTCCTTTTTTTTCTTCTTCTTTTTCCTTCTTCATCTTCTCCTTTAATTTCCATTCATTTCTTCTTTTTCCTTTGTTTTCTTCATTTTTCCTTCTTCATCTTCTCTTCCTCCGCCTTTTTCATTTCCTTTTTTTTACAGTTTTTTCTTCTTCATCTTCTTCATCTTCTCCTTTCTTTCACTTCTTCTTCTTCTTTTTTCCTTTCTTTTCTTCATTTTCCTCCTTCTTCTTCTTCTTCCTTCCTCCTTCATTTCTTCTTTTTTTTCCTTTGTTTTCTTCATTTTCCTTCTTCATCTTTTCCTCCTTTCCTCTTCATTTTTTCTTCTTTTCTTCTGCTTTTCTTTTCTTCTTCTTTTCCTCTTCTTTTTCTTCTTCTTTTTCTCCTCCTTCTTCATTTCTTCCTTTCCTCCTCAGTTTTCTCTCCTTTTTTTTCTTCTTCTTCATCTTCTCCCTTTTCCTTTCTTGTTCTTTTTTTTCTTTTTTCCTTCTTCTTCTTCTTTTTCCTTCTTCTTTCTTCTTCTTCTTTAATTTCTTCTTCATTTTCTCCTTTTCTTTTTTCTTTGTTTTCTTCCTTTTTCCTTTTCATCTTCTCCTTTAATTTCTTCATTCTTTTCTTCTTTTTTTTTCTCCTCGTTTCTTCATTTTTCTTCTTCATCTTCTCCTTTAATTTCACATTCATTTCTTCTTCTTTTTCTTTTTTTTTTCTTCCTCCTTCTTCTCCTTCTTCATTCTTCTTCCTTCCTCCTCTTTTTTTCATTTCTCCTTCTACTTCTTTCTTCTTCTCTTTTCCCTCCTTTTTCCTCCTCATTCTTCTTTTTTTCTTCTTCATCTTCTTCTTTTTCTTCATTTTCTTCCTCTTCTTCTTCTTCTTCTTCTTTTTTTTCTTCTTCCTTTTTCTCCTTTTTCTTCATTTTTCCTTTCCTCCTCATTTTTCATCTCCCTTCACTTCTTTTTCTTCTTCTTCTTTTTTTCCTTTGTTCTTCATTTTTTCTTCTTCATCTTCTCCTTTTTTTTTTTATCCTCTTCTTCTTTTTTTCTTTTTTTTCTTCTTTTTCCTTCTCCTCCTTCTTCATCTTTCCTCCTCCTCAGCTTTCATCTCCTTTGTTTTTGCTTCTTCTCTTCCTCCGCCTTTTTCCTCCTCGTTCTTCATTTTTCTTCTTCATCTTCTTCTCCTTCTACTTCTTATCCTCCTCTTTTCTTCTTCTTTTTTCTTTGTTTTCTTCCTTCTCCTCCTTCTTCATCTTCTTCCTTTACTTTTCATCTCCTACTATTTCTTCTTCTTCTTCCTTTTTTTCCTTTGTTTTCTTCATTTTTTCTTCTTCATCTTCTTCTTTCTTTTCTTATTCATTTTCTTCTTTTTCTTTTTTTTTTCTTTTCCTCCTTCTTCATCTTCTTCTTTTTCTTTTCACATTCTCCTTTCTTTTTTTTCTTCTTTCTTTTCCTTCATTTTCCTCCTTCATCTTCTCCTTTTCTTCATCTTCTTCTTTCTTCTTTTCCTTCTTCTTCTTCTTCTTTTTCTTTTTCTTCCTCTTCCTTCTTCTTCTTCTCTTCTTCCCATTCTCCTTTCTTCTTCTTCTTCTTTGTTTCTTCTTTCCTTTTTCCTTTTCTTCATCTTCTCCAGTTACTCTTCACATTCATCTTCTTCTCCTTTTTTTCCTCTTCCTTTCTTCTTCTTTCTTCTTCTTCTTCTTCCTCCTTTCCTCCTTCTTCATCTTCTTCTTTTTTTCCTTGTTTTCATCTTTTTCCTTCTTCATCTTCTTCCTTTATTTCACTTCTTTCTTCTTTTTTTTCTTCTTCTTCTTCTTCATTTCCCTTCTTTCATCTTCTTCTTCTTCTTTTTCTTCTTCACATTCATCCTCTTTTTTTTCCTTTCTTTTTCTTCTTTTTCCTTCTTCATCTTCTTCTTTTTCTTTCTTCTCTTTCTTCTTCTTTTTCCTTTGTTTTCTTCATTCTTTTCTTCTTCTTCTTCTTCTTTTCTCCTTCACATTCTTCTTTCTTCTTCTTTTCTTCTTCTTCCTCCTTCTTCCTTCTTCATCTTCTTCCTTTCCTCCTCAGCTTTCTTCTTTTTTTCTTCTTTTCTTCTTTTCCTTCCTCATTTTTCCTCCTCGTTCTTCATTTCTTTTTTTTTCATCTTCTTCTTCTTTTCCTTCTTATCCTCTTCTTCTTCTTTTCTTCTTCTTTTCTTCCTTTTTTTCTCCTCCTTCTTCATTTTCTTCCTTCTTCATCTTCTCCTTTCATCTCCTTCACTTCTGCTTCTTCTTTTTTCCTCCTCCTTTTCCTCCTTTCTACAGTTTTTTCTTCTTCATCTTCTTCTTCTTCTACTTCTTATTCTTCTTCTTCTTCTTTTTCTTTTGTTTTCCTCCTTCTTCCTTCTTCATCTTCTTCCTTTCCTCCTCATTCTTTCATCTCCTTTTTCCTTTGTTTTTCTTCTTTTCTTCTTCATCTTTTCCTCCTTGTTTCACATTCATTTTCTTCATCTTCTTTCCTGTTTTCTTCATCCTCTTCTTCTTCTTCTTCTTCTTTTCTTCTTCATTTCTTCCTTCTTTCCTTTTCATCTTCTTCCTATCCTCCTCAGCTTTCATCTCCTACTACTTCTGCTTCTTCTCTTCCTCCGCCTTTTCCTCCTTGTTCTACAGTTTTTTCTTCTTCATCTTCTGCTCCTACTACTTCTTATCCTCTTCTTCTTCTTCTTCTTTTTCTTCTTCTTCCTCCTTCTCCTCCTTCTTCATCTTCTTCCTATCCTCCTCAGCTTTTCTTTCTTCTTTTTCTTCTTTTCCTTTCTTCTTTTCCTTCTTCATTCTTCTTTGTTTCTTCTTCATCTTCTGCTCCTTCTTTTTTTTCCTCTTCTTTCTTCTTTTTTTTTCTTCATCTTCTTCTTCCTCCTTCTTCATCTTCTTCCTATCCTCCTCAGCTTTCATCTCCTACAACTTCTGCTTCTTCTCTTCCTCCGCCTTTTCCTCCTCACATTCTTTCAGTTTTTTCTTCTTCTTCTTTTTCCTTCTTCATCTTCTTCTTTTCTTCTTCTTTCTTCTTTTTTTTCTTCTTCTTTTTCCTTCTTTTCCTTCTTCATCTTCTTCCTTCCTCCTTTTCATCTCCCTCATTTTCTTCTTCTCTTCCTCCGCCTTTTTCTCCTTTTTTCTTCTTCTTCTTTCTTTCTTCATCTTCTGCTTTCTTCTTTCCTCCTCTTCTTCTTCTTCTTTTTTCTTCTTTCTCCTCCTTCTTCTTCATCTTCATTTCTTCTTCTTTCCTCCTTGCTTTTCTTTTTTTCTTTTCTTCTCTTCTTCTTCTTTTCCTCCTTTCTTCATTTTTTTCTTCTTCATCTTTTGCTTCTCCTTTCTTCTTCCTCTTCTTCTTCTTCTTTTATTTCTTTCTTCTTCTTCCTTTCTCCTTCTTCTTCATCTTCTTCCTTTTCCTTCTTCTTTCTTCTCCTTTAACTTCTGCTTCTTCTCTTCCTCCGCCTTTTCCTCCTCGTTCTACAGTTGTTTCTTCTTCATCTTCTGCTCCTCCTACTTCTTATCCTCTTCTTCTTCTTCTTCTTTTTTTTGTTTTCCTCCTTTTCCTTCTTCATCTTCTTCCTTCCTCCTTCAGCTTTCATTTCCTACTTTTTCTTTGTTCTTCTCTTCCTTCCTTCTTTTTCTCCTTTCTTTACATTGTTTCTTCTTCATCTTCTTTTCCTCCTACTTCTTTTCCTCTTCTTCTTCTTCTTCTTTTTCTTCTTCTTCTCCTTTCTTCTTCTCCTTCTTCATCTTCTTCCTTCCTCCTTCTTTCATCTCCTTACTTCTTTCTTCTTCTTCCTCCATTCATTTCCTCCTCGTTCTACAGTTTTTCTTCTTCATTTTCTTCTTCATCTTCTCCTTTAATTTCATCTTCTTCTTTTTCTTCTTCTTCTTCTTCTTCTTTTCTTCTTCTTCCTCCTTCTCCTCCTTCTTCATTTCTTCTTCCTTTCCTCCTCATCTTTCTTCTTCCTCTTCTTCCTTCTTTCTCTTCCTTTTTTTTCCTTTGTTTTCTTCATTTTTTCTTCTTCATCTTCTCCTTTTCTTTCCTCTTCTTTTCTTCTTTTTTTCTTTTTTGTTTCTTCTCCTTTTTCATCTTCTTCCTATCCTCTCCTTTTCATTCCTTCTTCTTCTTTTCTTCTTTTTTTCCTTTTCCTTTTCTTCATTTTTTCTTCTTCATCTTCTCCTCCTTTTTCTTATTCTTTCTTCTTTTTCTTCTTTGTTTTTCCTCCTTCTTTTCCTTCTTCATCTTCTTCCTTTCCTCAGCTTTCATCTCCTTTTTTTCTTTTTTTCTTTCTTTTCCTTCTTCCGCTTTTCCTCCTTTTCTTTCTTTCTTTTTTTCTTCTTCATCTTCTTCTTCTCCTTCTTCTTCTCCTCTTCTTCTTCTTCTTCTTTTCTTCTTCTTTTTCTTCCTCCTTTTCATCTTCTTCCTTTTCCTCCTTCTTTCATCTCCTCCTTTTCTTTCTTCTTCTCTTCCTCCGCCTTTTCCTCCTCGTTCTACATTTTTTCTTCTTCATCTTCTGCTCCTCCTACTTCTTATCCTCTTCTTCTTCTTCTTCTTTTTCTTCTTCTTCCTCCTTCTCCTCCTTCTTCATCTTCTTCCTATCCTCCTCAGCTTTCATCTCCTACTACTTCTGCTTCTTCTCTTCCTCCGCCTTTTCCTCCTCGTTCTACAGTTGTTTCTTCTTCATCTTCTGCTCCTCCTACTTCTTATCCTCTTCTTCTTCTTCTTCTTTTTCTTCTTTTTCCTCCTTCTCCTCCTTCTTCATCTTCTTCCTATCCTCCTCTTTTTTTCATCTTTGTTTTCTGCTTCTTTTTCCTTCTTTTCCTCTTCTTCTTTTTTCTTCTTCATTCTTCTTTCCTTTTTCTTCATCTTCTTCTTCTTTTTTTTCTTCCTCTTCTTCTTCTTCTTCTTTTCTTCTTTTCTTTCCTTTCTTTCTTCTTCTTCTTTTCCTTTTTCTTCTCTTTTCATCTTTTTTCTTCTTCATCTTCTCTTCTTCTTCCTTTTTCCTCTTCTTTTTTCTTCTTTTTTTCTTCTCTTCATTTTTCTTCTTCCTTCCTTCTTCTTCTTTTCCTTCTTCTTCTTCTTTTCTTCTTTTTTTTTGTTTCTTCTTCATCTTCTTTTCCTTCTTCATCTTCTTCTTCTTTTCTCATTCATTTTCTCTTTTTTTCTTTTTCTTCATTTTTCCTTCTTCCTCTTCTTCTTCTTACTTTTTCTTCTTTTTTCTTTTTTTTCTTCTGTTTTTCATCTTTTCTTCTTCTTCTTCTTCTTCTTCTTCTTCTTCTTCTTCTTCTTCTTTTTCTTCTTCTTCTCCTTCTCCTCCTTCTTCATCTTCTTCTTCCTTTCCTCCTCATTTCATCTCCTTCTTTTCTGCTTCTTCTTTTCCTCATTTTTTTTCCTCCTTGTTCTACAGTTTTTTCTTCTTCATCTTCTGCTCCTACTACTTCTTATCCTCTTCTTCTTCTTCTTTTCTTCTTCTTCTTCTCCTTCTCCTCCTTCTTCATCTTCTTCCTTTCCTCCTTCAGCTTTCTTTCTCCATCTTCTTTTGCTTCTTCTCTTCTTCTTTTTTTTCCTCCTCGTTCTACAGTTTTTCTTCTTCATCTTCTGCTCCTTCTACTTCTTATCCTCTTCTTCTTCTTCTTTTTTTCTTCTTCTTCCTCCTTCTCCTCCTTCTTCATCTTCTTCCCCATTCCTTTTTTTCATCTCCTTTTCTTTCTTCTTCTCTTCCTCTTTAATTTCCTCTTTCTTTAGTTTTTTTCTTCTTCATCTTTTGTTTTCTTCTTCTTATCCTCTTCTTCTTCTTCTTCTTTTTTCTTCTTCTTCCTCCTTTGTTTCCTTCTTCATCTTCTTCCTTCCTCCTCTTTCTTCTCCTTTACTTTCTTCTTCTTCCCTCCGCTTTTTTCCTCCTTTTTCTTCATTTTTTTCTTCTTCATTCTTCTTCTTTACTTCTCTTCTTCTTCTTCTTCTTTTTTTCTTCTTCTTCCTCCTTCTCCTCCTTCTTCATCTTCTTCCTATCCTTTCAGCTTTCATCTCCTACTACTTCTGCTTCTTCTCTTCCTCCGCCTTTTCCTCCTCGTTCTACAGTTGTTTCTTCTTCATCTTCTGCTCCTTCTACTTCTTATCCTCTTCTTCTTCTTCTTCTTTTTCTTCTTCTTCCTCCTTCTCCTCCTTCTTCATCTTCTTCCTTTCCTTCTTTCATCTCCTCTTCTTCTTTCACTTCTCTTCCTCCGCCTTTTCCTCCTTTTTTCTACAGTTGTTTCTTCTTTCTTTCTTCTCCTCCTGTTTTCTTCATTTCTTTCTTCTTCTTCTTCTTTTTCTTTCTTCTTCTTCCTTTTCTTCTTTCTTCATCTTCTTCCTTCTCCTCCTTCTTCTTCTTCTTCTTCTTCTATCTTTCTTTTTCTTCTTCATTTTTCTTCCTTTTTCTTCATTTTTTCTTCTTCATCTTCATCTTCTTCTTTTTCTTCTTTCTTCTTTTCTTCTTTTTTCTTCTTCTTTTCTTCCTTTTTCCTCCTTCTTCATCTTCTTCCTTTTCTTTTCATCTTTTTACTTTTCTTTTTCTTCTTTCTTCCTTTTCTTTTCCTCCTTTTTCTACATTGTTTCTTCTTCATCTTCTTCCTTCTTCTTCTTTTTCTCTTCTTCTTCTTCTTTTTTTCTTCTTCTTCTCTCCTTCTTTCCTTCTTCATCTTCTTCCTTTTTCTCCTCAGCTTTCATTCCCTTTTTCTTCTTCTTCTTCCTCCGCCTTTTCCTCCTTTCATTTCTTTCTTTTTTTTCTTTTTCTTTTCTTCTCCTCCTTCTTCATCTTCTCTTCTTCTTCTTCTTTTTTCTTTTTTTCCTTTTCTTTTCCTTCTTCATCTTCTTCCCTCTTCTTTTTTCTTTCATCTTCTTTTCTTCTTCTTCATTTTCCTTTTTTCCTCCTTTTTCTTCTTCATTTCTTCTTCTTCTTCTTTCCTCCTTCTTCTTCTTTTTCTTTTTCTTCTTCTTTTTCTTCTTCTTTTCTTCTTCTTCTTCTTTTTTTCATTCTTCTTCCTTTTTCCTTTTTCTTCATTTTCCTACTTCATCTTCTTCTTTTCTTCCATTTTCTTCTTCTTTTTTCCTTTGTTTTCTTCTTGTTTCTTCTTCATCTTCTGCTCCTTTACTTCTTCATCCTTCTTTTTCTTCTTCTTTTCTTCTTTTTTCCTTCATCTTCTCCTTTTATTTTTCTTCATTTCTTCCTTTTTTCCTCCTTGGTTTCTTCTCCTTTTCTTTCTTCATCTTCTCTTCCTTTTCTTTTCATCCTCGTTCTTCAGTTTCCTTTGTTTTCTTCATTTTCTGCTTCTTCCTTCTCCTTTATCCTCTTCATTTCTTCTTCTTTTTTTCTTCTTTTTTCTCCTTTTCCTTCTTCTTCATCTTCTTTTATTTTCCTTCATTTTTTCTTCTTTTCCTTTGTTTCTTCTTCTTCTTTCTTCATCTTCTCCTTTTCCTCCTCGTTCATTTCTTCTTTTTCTTCATCTTTTTCTTCTCCTTCTTTTATCTTCTTCTTCTTCTTCTTTTCTTCTTCATTTCTTCTTTTTTTCCTTTGTTTTCTTCCCTTTCCTCCTTCATCTTCTCCTCTCCTTTCATCTTCACATTCATTTCTTCTTTTTTTCTTTGTTTTTCTACATTTTTCTTCTTCATCTTCTTTTTATTTTCATTCCTTTCTTCTTTTCTTCTTTTTTCTTTTCTTCCTCCTTTCCTCCTTCTTCATCTTCTTCCTTTCCTCCTCAGCTTTCATCTCCCTATTTCATTTCTTCTTTTTTCCGCCTTTTTTCTTCTATTTTTCCTTCTTCATCTTCTCTCCTCCTTTCTTATCCTTTCTTCTTCTTTTTTTTTTTTCTTTTCTTCTTCTTTTTCTTTCTTCATCTTCTTCCTTTCCTTTTCATTCCCTACTACTTCTTTCTTCTTTTTTCCTTTGTTTTTTTCCTTTTCTTTGTTTTCTTCTTCATCTTCTTCTTTCTACTTCATTTCCTCTTCTTTTTTTTCTTTGTTTTCTTCTTTTTTCCTTCTCTTCATCTTCTCCTTTAATCCTTCACATTCATTTCCTCTTTTTTTCCTTTGTTTTCTTCCGCCTTTTCCTTCTTCTTCTTCTTTTTTTTCTTTTCATCTTCATTTCTTCTTTTTTTCTTTTTCTTCTTCATTTTCCTTCTTCTTCTTCTCCTTTAATTTCATTTCTTTCTTCTTTTTTCTTTGTTTTCTTCTCCCTTCTTCATCTTCTTCTTCTTCACATTCATTTCTTCTTTTTTTCCTTTGTTTTCTTCATTTTTCCTTCTTCATCTTCTCCTTTACTTTCACATTCATTTCTTCTTTTTTTCTTCTTTGTTTTCTCCTCCTTTTTCCTTCTTCATCTTCTTCTTTAATTTCCTACTATTCATTTCTTCTTTTTTTCCTTTTCCTTTCTTTCATTTTTCCTTCTTCATCTTCTCTCCTTACTTCTTTCCTCTTCATTTCTTCTTTTTTTCCTTTTCTTTTCCTTCATTTTCCTTCTTCATCTTCTTCTTTAATTTCAGCTTCATTTCTTCTTTTTTTCCTTTGTTTCTTCATTTTCCTTCTTCATCTTCTCCTTTTACTTTCATTCATTTCTTCTTTTTTTCTTTTTTTTTCTTCATTTTCCTTCTTCATCTTCTCCTTTTACTTTCACATTCATTTCTTCTTTTTTCTTTTGTTTTCTTCATTTTTCCTTCTTCATCTTCTCCTTTTCTTTCTTCATTTCTTCTTTTTTTTGTTTTTTCTTCATTTTCCTTCTTCATCCTTCTCCTTTTTTCACATTCATTTCTTCTTTTTTTCCTTTGTTTTCTTCTATTTTTCCTTCTTCATCTTCTCCTTTACTTTCACATTCATTTCTTCTTTTTTTCCTTTGTTTTCTTCATTTTTCCCTCTTCATCTTCTTCTTATTTTCACATTCATTTCTTCTTTTTTCTTTTTTTTCTTCATTTTTCCTTCTTCATCTTCTCCTTTACTTTCACATTCATTTCTTCTTTTTTTCCTTTGTTTTCTTCATTTTTCCTTCTTCATCTTCTCCTTTACTTTCACATTCATTTCTTCTTTTTTTCCTTTGTTTTCTTCATTTTTCCTTCTTCATCTTCTCCTTTACTTTCACATTCATTTCTTCTTTTTTTCCTTTGTTTTCTTCATTTTTCCTTCTTCATCTTCTTCTTTAATTTCACATTCATTTCTTCTTTTTTCCTTTGTTTTCTTCATTTTCCTTCTTCATCTTCTCCTTTACTTTCACATTCATTTCTTCTTTTTTTTCCTTTGTTTTCTTCATTTTTCCTTCTTCATCTTCTCCTTTACTTTCACATTCATTTCTTCTTTTTTTCCTTTGTTTTCTTCATTTTTCCTTCTTCATCTTCTCCTTTACTTTCACATTCATTTCTTCTTTTTTCCTTTGTTTTCTTCATTTTTCCTTCTTCATCTTCTTCTTTACTTTCACATTCATTTCTTCTTTTTTTCCTTTGTTTTCTTCACTCTCGACTTCCTTGACTTTTTCTCCCTTCCAAAGCGTAACCTATACGGCATAAATTCAATCGTAAGCAAGCGTTGCAAAGGAGATAGTCTTACCTCACTGCCTCGAAAACCAACATTCAAAATCTTGGCTCAATCACTGACCTCTAGCTCATATAGAAAATACGAGGATAAGCTAAAACGCTCTTGACTTCAGGAAGAAGTCTTTTCTAAAATAAACCAGATGTTTGGTCATTTGTTTAGAAGCTGGTCAGTGAACGTTTCAGCATATCCTTATATATTATGGTTTGAAACCTCCTGACCAATGGACTGAATAATTACAAAATGTTTCGTTTACGAGACTCTGGAGTCGAGGTTTTGAATTTAAGATCAATCAGTTAAGAGACTAATTTTAATTGAATTGATCCTATATTAAAGTTAATATAGTTTGGCACAAGGCCAGATGTGGAAAAATTAAATCTTCTCAAGTTTAGGGGGATATTACGTTAGTCTTTCATCTCAGAGCCTGCTTAAGTATTAGGTTGAAACAAAGGTTTTTTTTTTCAATAGATGTCTTTTGAACACCTGATTCCGTTTTACACGCGGTTGAAGTATCGCATATACTCGCGTATCATACGACTTTTGAAGATCTAATTTTGTAGCTAATTTTAAGAGGGTCCCATCATACACGTGATATAAAATTAGCGTATCTACTGCTGGCCCTGGCTACGCCGTTGACCAAACTATATATCCGTTTACTGTAATCAAAAAGTACAATTGTATTTAAAATAAACATGGTTTTGATAAAAAACTGATGCTTTACTTAACTGTATTCAATAATAATGCATATAATTTTAACATATTACTATCTTATAAAATATAAACATAGCGAATATGTATCGTTTCCATTGTTTACGTTTATAAGATATTCAAGTGATTCTCGTTCGGCGGCTTATGGCTGTACCTATTTACGCAACGAGTAGAGCGTCACTAATGATACTTTTATCAATCTCATTTACTTTTTTAACTAGAAAATAGGATAAAGTGATAGAGGAAAAGATGTTGGTCTATTGCAATTTGGGTTCTCAACAAATGAACTTGCATGATACACGAGATACATATATAATTTTTATAAGTGGAAAGTTAGGGGTCGGACGATACGCGAGATCGCCCTTTACATGAGTATATACGGTAGATATTGTGAATGGTGACATTTCAACGCGTGTTTCAGTACAATTCCTATGTGACTTGTATAATTTAAATGTTTTCTCGTTTAACGTGAATATGGAGGAAAATGTGATGCATTTTTATTTCATGCTCTTTTAGGGCCAGAAAGGAAATATATGTGGGTGCCGTTGAGGGAGATGCTGCCATAGCTGAGAATACTGTTCGTAAGTGACGGGTGTCCCCTTAAAGAGTCACCGTGCCCTGAGAGAATGTTGGGCCGCAAATTCACACCCGTCCTCATTTGCTAGTCTTAGATACGATCCATCGCTAAAGATGAAAGACTAGACCAACCTCTTTTCCTCTATCACTTTATCCCATTTTCTAGTTAAACAAGTTAAAAAAGTAAATGCGATTGATAAAAGTATCGTTAGTAACGCTCTACTCGTTGCGTAACTGCGTACAGCTATAAAAATGATCGGCTCTCGGTACCGCTCCAGTAAGTACCTGTCGCCTCATGCTATTATTATAAGGTAGACTTTATAAGGTGCAGATCAGGCCGAAAATGGAGTACTGTTGTGATATTTGGGCGGGGGCTGGCAGTTCGTTACTTTGCAGTTTTGATAGAGTTCAAAAGCGTCCCCGAGTCCAGTCTCTCTCTCTCTCTCTTTCTCTTTCTCTCTCTCTCTCTCTCTCTCTCTCTCTCTCTCACACACACACACACACACACACACACACATACAGTGGCTGGATTTGGCGAGCCTCTCACTGGGCTGTCGCTATTTCCATGGAAAGTGATTGAACGCACCACATTCCTTGGTTTCGACACGTCTAACCTTTACGTCTAGGACCCGCCATGTCACTTATATTGTAGAAAACCAACCTTATTCCCTCAGTGCTCCATCAGATAGAAGTAAGTTCTACTCAAACAGCTTCATCCCGCGAACAACTGATCTGTGGAACAGACTCCCAAGAGGATATTTCCCCGATCATTACAATCTTAACAAGTCTAGAGTCAACCGTTATCTTCCTCTCCTATCCGTATAAACTACCCCTTATCGTAATCCTCTACTTCGCTACCTTCAGGGTGCTGATCTGAAAACAGAGAACACCCCGGCAAGCGTGCTACCCTTGACAATAAACAAATCGAGAGGATGACTAAAAATAATCCCGATCTTAGGAGACGGGATATCGCAGACTTGCTCAATACATCTCTTCGTCCTAGGTATAACGATAAACTACATCCGGCAGCAAAGCCTATGATCGGAAGACTGGATATTTTGAGGAGCATGGAACCCCCCTATTAACTGCTGTTATTTTCAGGTCCACCCTGATCCCTGGTAGGGTCCTAGCTATGGGCAAACGGTGAACCCCACCCAAACAAAAATCAACAGTACATTTTTATAATAGAATGAGTAACAATACATTTTTATAGCAAAATGACAATCAAAGCAACATTAGAAAATGTAAAAATATATTTTTATACTAAAAGTATACACCAATACATTTTATAATCTACAAGCTATATATCTAAAACATATTTTTACCTTGAGAGTTTACAATTGTATACAATATATCCGTAGTTGAGAGCATATAATTACGTACAAAACATTTAGATCCCGGCATTAAATCACCCATAGAGGTGTTGATATGCCGCTAAACAAAACCAACCAACTATATATCTCATATCATCTTCGTAAGGCATTTAAAAACTTTTGGATACTTGAATCCCTACGGTGTTTAATGGAATTATTTTGATCTGCACCTCTGCTAAAGTGCAACAAAAAACGATCCATTTTTAAATGAACACAGGAGATGAAAAGTGGATTATTTACAACAATACTGTGCAGAAAAGATCCTGAGAGAAAAACGAAATACCCACTCCAAAAGCCGGTCTGCATATATATATATATATATATATATATATATATATATATATATAATAATGGCTTTACGCGAAACTTCTCTCGTATATATCCTAAGTTGGTACTGCGTATCTGGGTTGGCTGGAAGTGCTTTGTATATTACGAGCTTCTTCCATAAAATCAAACGCTAAGTCCAGACAAGTACACTTCCCTCATGAAGCCGATTAAAGGCAGTTATTAAATTTTTAGGTTAAAGGTAATTAAATGAACAATTGGAAAAGTCTCGTCTTCAATCAGTATAACGACTGATCTCATATCTTTTTGCAGACCCCATAGAAATTGTTACAACACACAACCTACTCACCTTTACTTTAGATCTTCGGATTAACATATTTAGATCCCTGTAAAATTATTTTAATTAGAAGAACCTCAGTTTGATGTAAGCCTACAAGAAATACACTCATAGCTGACTTTTCTCCAGTCATTTTGAATACGAAAGGGATGAGGGAAATTCGAGTCCATAGAAGTAGTATTGTGTGTCCTGGCAGGGAAGGTCTGGATTCGTGAAAGAAAAGAAAAGAGCTTAACTCAATATTTGCCATGAGAACAGTGATAGAATATCGACATGCTTACGACGTTGCATATGTGAGAACGAGGCTGTAGAGAGGAAATGATTTTGAACTCTATGAAGACTGAGCAGGTCCAGCCCAAAAATGGCAGCATTACTCTATTTTTTTTATCTAATTCTGACTCCTGTGACTATAAAGCATGAAAGGTAGGAGCCAGTTCTTCCTGGAGCGACCATTTTCCCAACATCTTTCGCAATTGATCGCATAGAGAAGGCTCTTACATAAAAAAAAAGATGTCCTTTCTCAGGCATATGTGTTTCCAAGCAGCATATAAATATGTAATTAACTTTTCGTTTGAACAGACCCATTTAAATACAGGAAATGCAGTATTAAGATATAAGATACCAAAGGGGCAAATACTTAGGAGTGGTTAGCTTCGGATGGGGCTGTGGGTAATTGAAGTCGGTATCGTAAAGAAAGAAAGCATGGAACTAGAGACGTGTGGAGATATTAGTTAATTTAAAAAGGATTTTCTTGAACTTTGAAGAATGTAACCGTGAGGTAAATTTGACTGTTTACTTCGAACCCGGTAAGATTTTTTTCAGTCAGCAAAAGGTTAAATCTATGGGCTTTAATGAAAGATTATGTTTTAAATGCGAATTTATTCATTTATTTTACGAATCATCACTTTTTTTTTCTTCTATATTAATTATTTTTTTAATTTTAGTCCCGATTAGAAACTTTCATCTATGGACAAATTTACAGTTATAAAAATACCGCGCATACATAGAAATCTAGGGAAAACTATTACGTGCGTGCACACACACACACACACATATATATATATATATATATATATATATATATATATATATATATAAATTGCCCTGAACCGACTGAAGATTGGGAGATTACTGTATAACAAACTGGGCGTCAACATGAAACTTCAAGTCGCGGAAACGCCATGTTTGAGTATCAGTTAAATTGTCGCCATTTTAGATTTTAATTTCGCACATGCGCGTTGTTTGTTTTTATCTAATGGCGATCCTCAACGTGTTTGGAATGATAACTAGTGATGGGCCCGTTATGCCACCATTTATCATCCCACAGGCCTACAACAAGTGACTTGAGTAGGTAGTGCTGCACTGGGTCAAGAGGTTTGGCAACAGGACTCTGCACCATGCCACACAAGTAGGAATAACCAGTCATGGCTGCCAGACAACATCTGCGAGCACGTCATTCCTTACATCTGGGTGCCTAAGTCTCCAAACTGCAATCCCTTGATTTTTATGTGTGGGATACCTATGTTTGAGTAGACACTCAGTTTGTCTATTAAACAATATATGTAATTATTTTCATCTACCGGCCTGAATGTTCGAGAAATTTTCTAAAAGAATAATTTGCCCTCCGGTAGGATTCGAACCTGGCGGATTCCAGTCCAGATTGAGCTATCGTTAAATCCTGTACACTTTAACCAAAAGAGATATAAAGACGAATCGGTCAGTCACGCCCAAATTTATGTCTTTAAGCGATATAGCTCAATGTCAAACGTAGGCCAAGCGGCATCATTTGCGTACTTTAGTCCCGATACTTCCTTTACCAGAGCGCATCTATCTATCTATCTATCTATCTATAATAATAATAATAATAGCTTTAAGCGAAACTTCTCTCGTATATATCCTATCATCTAA